TCGGCAACCAGGTTATCGTGTTTTTTTTTTCGTCTGTTTTTTTTTGGCGGTAACCATAATGGTGGTCGAGTACATCATGTTGTGCGGGGTGGAGAACCCTCGCTCCGCGCAAGGGGGATGATCGCACCACGTTGTGTTAAAATGGTCAAGCTTCCTCGAGGCAGTTACACAGTGCTTACAACTGTCTCTGGAAGTGAAAGCACCAGAAAATAAATTAGGTCATACGCAGCTGTCATCCGTACGCAAGGACGTAAGCACAAGATGCCGAACACCCTTAGCAGGATGCAGCTCACCCTTCATGCGACTCGCCGAATACCTCACGGCGCTTCGCGCTTGGTGATGTGAGAGCCTGGTCCGGTGAGAACCCGGCGTGCTCCGTCCCGGCTTTGTAGGGAAGCGAGGTCAATGGTCTAACGACTACGGCATGCACTACTATGAGTACCCCCCCCCGCTCTCTCGTGTTTCCAAAGAACCGTGCGCGTCCGGTCATCTCGCGGCGTTGCCTGCGTATGTCGTGGGGCAAGGTGCCCGTTGCGGCGTGTCCAATGGCAGTCTAGCTCCCCTGTACGCACGAGCGGAGGCTCGTTGTCCTTGGGTGTCGAACATCCGAGGGTCTCGTTTGGCCATACGTAGATGCAAGCGCCAGGAGAATTCGGGGCGAAAATAACGGGGACCGAGCTGACCTTGTCGCCTGCGCAGCGTGCTTTCATTATTTAGGTTTTGGACTGCCGTCGAGGGGCACATGTCCACCCCCGGGGGCTGTTTTTTTATTGTCGGTGTTGACAAGCAAGCTCCGATTAGGCAAAAATTTCGTGGTGTTGTCTTCTTTTGGTTAGGTCTGATAATGTGGCAGCAGTAGACAGCGCTGTGGGCATAGGGCACATTCTCGGTGTCGTCATTGTGTTGAGGTGTTGGACCTGTCCGTTCACACCGTTGCAATCACCTCCCCCCCCCTGGCGCGCGCCTTCAAAGGGGGATGCGTGGTCAGTGTTCGAATGACCGCGACAAGTGACACAAGCGGGGACTCCGTCCCCCCCGACCTCCTTCCTCACGAGGACGTGTGGCCAATGGTCTTACAGCTAAGGCATTTACCGCTCAATGGATATGTACTACTGAAGTACATGAGATAGGACGCGTGCTCAGTGGTAATTAAAAAGATGGGTACCTCCCCCCCCCCCCCTGCGCCGCCGCGGCGGCGTCG